GTTTAAAATAGGGGATTGTGGCAGAAATATAATCAGGACTAAATTATATCTGACACTGGGGTCCATAAATGGACCTCCTGGTGGGAAATTTACCCACAAAACAACCTTGAATGGGAGTTAATCCAGATCAGGGCCATGAAGCTATAGAAGGGGAGTGTTAATGCTCCTCCCTTTAGTAGCCAATCGTTTTTTTCTCTGCTGGAACTACAGTAACCCAGAGTGCCTTTTGAGGAAATGCGAGCCCCAACCCCACGCAGAGCCTGCGCTGGTGGGGGGGGGGCTGCTTTGCCTCCGTGAGAGGCATGAAGAGTAAGGAACCAACAGGGGGCAGAGCCAGCCTGTCTAGGCTTGGCTCCTGCCCCCTGCCTTACAGTCAGTCAGTAGAGCTCGGCCCACCCTCCCACCCTATTTTAGTGAAGGTCTGACCGGTTGCCTTTTCATGGAGCCAGGTAGGAATTTTTCGCCTCCATCGATTTGGCCAATTTATGGAGGTGTTTTTGCCTACCTTGCACTGATGATGGTGGTGTTGGTTTATTGGCTTCGGGGGGGGGGGTTGTTAAATAGTATAGTCACTTTAGTGTTTGGCGGGGTAGCGCGATCAGGATGGAAATGGTGAGCACCGGGGCATTGTTATAAAGGAAATAAAGGGTCCTCCAGGAACGGCTTTCAGGCCTTTGTGGCTCAAGGCTGGGAAGGGGTGATCTTCCTTGGAACAATCTGACTCGGCCTACTTTAGCGGGCCTTTGCGGCTTCTGGGGTGGTGGGTCAGGGGTTCTCTTGAACATGCCACACTGCTGGTCGAAAGCTACCTTCGGTGGCTTGAGATCAGAGCAGGTGCATCGCCCAGAAGGAAATGAAGGTGGTCAGGAGTTTGACACCTGTCATATTCCTCAGTACATTTCTGGTAACCCCGCGCTAGTATTTGTTGTTATTAAACAATTAATAAAGTGACCCTTGTTAAATCCATATTGGTGTCTGTCTCTTTATTCCGACTGGGGGGGCAATGGTAGACAGGAAAGAATTAACACTACTTTCCTCATATTTCTTCACTTTGCCCTGTGTTGCTTTTTGTGACTTACACTGCCTGTTCAAGATTGACCACAGATGTTCAGTGTAATATGTAGATGGGTCCTCAGAGAACAGCGGAGTTTTCTATATCTCATCCTGTCTGAAGTATATAATCAGCAACTCTAGGATTGGAGTACAAATAGAAGATCTGAGAAAGAGAAAGCTCCTGGTTCCTGTTACACCCTAATCAAATAATTTCCCATTCCCCTTTGCTACACCCAGGGTCTCAAGCACAGTTTCTCTGGAACTGACAGAAACACAACACTTCTTTCCTTCCCCAGACCACCCCCCAGTCCTATTCTTTATGTATTCGTGTCTCATGCTGGAAGAGCACTACACTTGCTGGTGGCCCCGGCCCGAGAGAAGTCCAACTGTCCTGGATCAGGGCCAGGGCTTTCTCAGCCCTGGCCTCTGCCTGGTGGAATACTCCGCTGGAAGACCTCTGTGCCCTGCGGGAGCTGTTACCTTTCCCCAGAGCATGAAAGGCAGAGATGTTCTGCCGGGTTTTCAGTTGAGGACAACAACGGGACTCCTATATAATTCCCCATACCAAGATCGGGTAAGATACCCGCCTCCTGGAACGAAGCAACTTTCTCAGCCCTGGCCTCTGCCTGGTGGAATACTCCGCTGGAAGACCTCTGTGCCCTGCGGGAGCTGTTACCTTTCCCCAGAGCATGAAAGGCAGAGATGTTCTGCCGGGTTTTCAGTTGAGGACAACAACGGGACTCCTATATAATTCCCCATCCCTCATAACCCCTCCCCCCCAGGAAGACTGGGGAGTTAGGATTTGTCCGCCATCTTATATATTGTATAGATACTGTTTTTACCTACTAGTATTTATTGGATTGTTTTAATTTAGTTTTATGTTGAAAATGTATATTATTCTGTTGTTAGCCACCTGGAGCCCTGTTTTAGGGAAGGGCAGCCTAGAACATCCAATTTAATAAATAAATAAATAAATGATTCCTTTTATTTCTGGTAGTATATAAACAAACCACATCATGGTAATGGTTTCACAGCCCAATCTTCAGGTCCTGCTAGGGTGCACACCTTTCACCCATCCTTACTAGTGCTGCCTACTGTTTCCATAGCCAGGACTAGCTGCCTCCTTTAATTTTAATGTTCTCGTCCATCCCTCCACATTTCCATAGGGAAACCTACATATGCCAGCTGTCTTCCAAGGCCACAGAGATAGGCATCCTGAACAGAAGACCACCGTACCATTCCCTATTGCCATGCAACTTTAGTTCCCTTCTGTGGTCATGGGTTGCACCTCTGCCTTCCTTAGCCACGTGACTCTCTTTTGCCCATCCTTTGTCCACTTGACTCGCTTTGCTTCCCTGACTTCCTGCTTCTGATACCCATATTGTGCAATGTCTCCTCTTTACCATAAAGGGTTGCCAACAACCGGGAGGAAAAAAAAGGTCATCGTTTTGATCAAGCCTTAATGGGATGCTATTTACCTCCATGCCACAAAAACCTTCACTTACTCATTTGCGCACATCAGGCCTCTGCTAAAGGGGCAGGACATCCCCCTCCCCCCCAGTCAGGCTATTGTCTGGCTATCTCCATACAATGCAAACATTGCCGAGGAAGAGTTTTGCTGCTGTCCTTAAAAGCATTGCTTGCTCCTCATTCAGAGCTGCTGAAAGCCACCGGGGAGCCCCAAGCAGATTCTCTCTGCCTCCCCACTCACATTCAAAGGATTACCCACGAAAAAGCTTGACTAGAACAGGTTTGCTGCTGCTGTTCCTCCCCCACCCCCCACCCCCAACAGCACCCTGCTCAGCTCCCAAGACCCCAGGACCAGTGTTCCCTCTAAGCTGAGTTAGTGTGAGCTAGCTCGCAGTCTTTTAGCCTCCAGCTCACACATTTTTGTCTCGGCTCAGGAAGGAGGGCTCCAGAGCAAATTAATTTATGCAGTAACCAAATCACCTGCTCACAACTTTCATGCCAGTAGCTCACAAAGTAGAATTTTTGCTCACAAGACTCCACAGCTTAGAGGGAGCCTTGCCCAGGACAACCTGGATCCCTGGAATGTTGCCCCCTAGTGTCCCCCGACAGCATGGTCATCAATAGCCCTTATTAATGATCTATGTACTGAGGTTTTATATATAAATAATAATTAAGTGCTATCAAGTCGCAGTAGACTGAAGGCAATCCCGCAGGGTTTTCAAGGCAAGCGATGAGCAGAGGTGCTTTTGCCATTGCCTCCCTCTGCATAGCAACCCGATTTCCTTGGTGCTCTGTCGTCCAGGGCTGATCCTGCTTAGTTTCCGAGGTCTGACAAGCTCAGCTAGTTTGGGCTACTCAGACTGCTAAGTTATATATTAGAGGTACTAAATGTGGGCTGTGGTTTGCATAACATATTTTATCGGGCACTGTGAAGCTGAACAAGGGAAGGGGGCTCAAAAAGTTCTCCGTTTTTAATGTGACTCGTTTTTTCAAAGAGGCCCATTGATACAGCAGACTTACATCTTACATAGGACCAACAAGAATATTCTTGCCTCTGCTCTCCACCCTCCAAGCAGCACTTGTACATTCTACTGAATCTGAGTAGTGCAACTGCTTTTAAGGCTAAAGAGACCTTCCTTGCCTCCCTTTCTTGCCCTTCATGCAGTTTTAAGATGCAAAAAAAATGGGAGCGCCAACATGGTGCAGGGGTTAGAATGCTGAACTGGGGTTTGGGAGACCTGGGTTCAAATCCCCAACTCATGCCTTGGAAGCTTGCTGGGTGACCTTGGGCAGATCACACACTCTCAGCCTAACCCGCCTCACAGAGTCGTGAAGATAAGGTAGCAAGGAGGAGGACTTAAGCTGCTTTGGGTCCCCCTTGGGGAGAAAGGCAGGCTACAAACAAAGTAAAGAAACAGGATCGCAGCTGGCATGAAGCGGCCCCGAGCTTGTCACACATTGCCAGACGCCGAGCCACTCGATGCCTTTTTCTCCTACGAGTTTCCTGTCTAAAAATAATTGCACTAATAGAAAAATCACTTCCATTCACCTTTCATTAGTGGCTGTCCATGTTTTCCATGCTGACTCATATCCATAGCAGAAGAGTTATCTGTCCAGGATCTTTCCTCCTCAAAAGCATGCCTGATGCATGCTTGGAGGGAAAGCAAACCTATGTGTGCTTGGCCCAGTATCGGTTGCACAATGGGAACTTTTCTTGGGCAAGCAAAGCACCTGTCCTCCTCACCCATATCCAGGGCATCCTATTGCTCTTATCTTTGGGGGGCCCTTCAAGCTCTTTCAATGCTTCCCATCTCCCTGCCTATGGAGGAGAGTGCTAATGACATGTTCTGCTAGATCCCTCCAGGGGCTGATCGTCGCTTGCCTGAAGTGCATGGTGAATCTCAACCCGAAAGGGCTGCCAGGAAACCCAGCCGAGAGAAGTTTCAGATATATTTTATTACAGCAAATAAAATAAGAGAGAGAAAAATCCAAACAAAGACAGTCACCATCAGAGCACTTTTGTTGTTGTCGTTGTTTTGGGCTGTGTAAACCAATGCAATTCATAAAGTCAGGGGAGCAGCATCAACCAAGCCCGCTGGCTCTTAGCAGTGGACAAGCTTCAAGAGACAAGTGCAAAATACAAACTGGACCCGGCCGGATACAATTCGAAACAGAAGAGCGAGCAGTAGTTGAGAGAAGGCAACTCCAAAACCATTCAGAGTGGCCCGATCTGCAGGGGTGTGTTTGCGTGAAAAGCTGCCAACCCTCCCCCTCTCCCCCAAAGCACCACATCCTGATTTAGGAAAGGCAGGTTTTGTCTGTTCCCCTTCTCCTTCCAAATCTTGACGGGGTAGAGGTTTCAGTCAACGTTTTTGTTAGGATCCCTTTGGTTGCCCCATGCCTCTGTCCTCATTCCCCACTTTTCTTTTCCCGCTCAACAAGACAGCAAAAGTTGGGAATGTTTCGTTTGCGTGCATTTACATTGCTATTTACAGGAGACACATACATACAAAGAATAAGGCGGCTTCCCGGCTTAATAACTCCCACTCTTTCGACCCCATCCCTCTCCCCACGCCAGACAAGGCGAGCTCTCCCTCCGCCTCCGTGCGATAAGCAGAGGACACAGGAGTTAAGCTCTCGGACAGGGTCCCCTTCGAGCATCTCTTGCGGGGCAGGAGGGCTCGCCGCCCCCCCACCTCCTCCCCAGACGCCCTACCATGGTCGGGAGGCAGAGTTCGCAGAAAGGCAACTTGTGGCCGGCCACTTCCTTCAAGTCCTCTCGGCGGCGGCGGCGGCGGCGAGGGGGCGGCTCAGTAGGATACCACCACCACCGCCTCCACCTCCTTGGACGGCCGCCGCTCCTTGACCAAGAAGTTGATCATGCCCTCGGACTTGATGAGCAGGTTGCAGCCCAGGAAGAAGATGCCGAAGACGACGGTGAGGGAGAGGACGCACATGACGGCGATCTGCACCACCCGCATGATGTAGAGGCTCCGCTCGTCCGGGGCGGCCACCACGAAGCCGTCGTCGGTCACCACCGAGCGCGGCGTGAAGGAGCGCAGCACCCGCTCCAGGGAGAGGCTGCTGTTGGCCAGGAAGAGCCCCGCCGCCTCCGTCTGGTTCCCCAGCGAGGCGTTCATGGCCCCGGCGGGCGGCGGGCGGAGGGAGCCGAAGGCAGGCTGGGACGGAGTGCCTCGGGCGCGGCCAGCCTCATGCAGCGCCGCCGGACGACGACGACGCCCCCCCGCGGGAAGCCCTCCGCTCGGGCTGGCCCCCGCTCCGAGCTCCAACTTGGCCGCGCTCCGGGAGGCGAGGGCAGGGGGAGAGGCGGCGGCGGCGGCGGCAAGGACGGCTCCGCCGGAGGCGCGGGAAAAGAGCCCCGAGGGCGCCGGGCGGCAGACGGGGGAGGCAGGTGCCGCGAGCGTCTTCGGCCGGCAATGAGCGGCGGCGGGGCTCCCGGCGG